GGGTGTGGTGGTGGGGGTCTCCTGAGTAGTCAGGGGGAGTGACATCATCATCATCATCATCATCATCATCATCATCATCATCTTCATCATCTTCATCTTCATCATCTTCATCTTCATCTTCACCTTCATCATCTTCATCTTCATCTTCATCATCTTCATCTTCATCATCTTTATCTTCATCATCTTTATCTTCATCATTTCATCATCATCATCATCATCATCATCATCATTGCCTTTCTCTCCGTGCACCAGGGTATAGGCCACGGACAAACATTTTCCACCTTTTTCTATCCTGGGGCTAGTCTCTTGCTGTTATTTCGTGTCTTCTCACTTTTCTGTACATCGATTTCTGTGATTTTCCGCTGTCCTTCCTTGTTCCTGCTGATACAGAAGCTCCTCCGTCTCCCAAGATCGAAAAATAAAAAGCTGTGTTTGTCCGTGTTTCTGTAACGGACTGTTTTTTACCGGGTCGGGTAGTTGGCCCTCCGCAAACTGTCACTTTTCGGGCAACAAGACCTATGCACTTTTAGTCGCCTCTTACGACACGCAGTATCACGGCAGGTGTATTCTTTGCTCCCCCATAGTAAAATTACGGGGCCCCCCACCTATAGATTCGGAGGTGAGTTGGTTTACCATGTTTCATAATTTTTTAAGCCTGCCTGTTGTTAACAGTAGGCCTATGCAGCATGTACTGTGTATTCTATTCTCTCGTAGCGTGGGTTTCCAACTCCCATAAGTGAGAGTGAATGTGTTGGATTAGCCTTTGTAATCTTTGCTTAGGTCAAGAGTACATCCTGATTGAGAGAAAACAATGTTGTGACACTTTGGTTTTTTCCCCAATGTTTTTTCTTACAATTCTGTCGCCTCATCTCACATTCATTCATTGTCTTTGCTGTCAGTTTATTGTCACTAAACTTTGCCTCTCTATGTACCCATACTAAACGTAATCCTGTAACTCTAACGTTATGTCTTTCATTTCCTTCTTTCCTTTCTTTACTTTACCCCTTGCCTAACTTTATTGTACCATATGTGTCATGACGCACTGGAATCAGGCGCTCGTCAATTTTGGGACATTTATTCGAGTTATTGATATCATCTAATAGCCCGTTCTTTTGTCTTGCTTTTGACGAAAAAAAAGTATCCACGTATCTTGAATAGAAGTCGAGATATTTGGGATTGAATGTGGTGGGGTCGCCTGGTTTCAGATGTAAAATTAATGAGAAAATTGCACCAAAGTATGCCGACTGCCATAGATAGATAATCTTTGGAAGCTGAAAATTTATACTTTTTGTGCCTTTAATCAACTTTTCCCTGTAAAATTCACACAGAAATATGTTTTTAAGTGGACCTAAAAGGTGTTGAAAAAAAAAATCCCAAGTCGTTGGGAAAAAGACGGTTTCTTTGGTTTCTTTATTTTGAGGAGCGCCTGATCTCACCACGATGCCTCTCATATATATCAAGTTGTTCCCGACCTAACAACTCAAAACTTTCACCATCGTTGTCATCAGCCTCTCTCACCCTGTGCTGGAGTATAGGCCACTAACAAGAGCTCTCCATGTACTGGGCTATATATATTTGTGAGGCAGCATGGTCAAATCAGGCGCTTGTCAAAATAAGGAAATCAAAGAAACAGGCATTTTTCAGTCAGTTTAGCAATTTTTATCAAATTTTTTTTTTTTTTTTTGGCTCAACACCTTTAATTTTCATAGAAAAAAACATTTCCAATGTGAATGTTACGGAAAAACGTTGATTAAAGGCATAAAATTTGTAATTTTTTAGTTTTCAAGGACTCTCAAGCTATTGAAGTTACCGAACTTTGGCAGCCATTTTCTTGCTAATTTCATCACTGAAACCTGTTGACTCCACTCCCTTCAATCGCAAATGTTTAGACTTCTATTTGAGATAGATGGGTATTTTTTCATTGAAAGCAAGGCAAATAAATAAGTATTCAGATGACCCCAATAACTCCAAATGCCCAAAAATTGACGAACGCTTCATTCTACTGCATTGTGACACATATCATGTTGTTACAGACTTTACAGTACTAAGCTTTCCCCATCATTATCATCAGCATTTCTGCCCCTGTGCTGGAGTATAGGCCACTAACAGAAGCTCTCCATCTACTTCTGTCCTGGGCTATAGTCTCCACCTCCACCCCTCTGTATTTTATCTCCTCTAGGTCGGAATCTAAGCCCTTTCTCCAAGTTCTTTTAGAACTTCTTTTATTGCCTCTTTTCAAACTAAACTTTCCTAGCCCTTTGTAATGAGATGATAACTGCTATCTAATCCTAGATTCTACTCGTTAGTCTATCAACGTTGTTTTCAATACTCACAGTTTCGAGCGCGGAACGATGTGTGTGGGTCTTACAGGTCCGGAGCTCCATCCACTGTGTCGACCCACCAGTAGCGTCGATCCCTGATCAGCCTGGATTTAAGTCCTGGCTCGGAAGGCCGGTTCAACCTTCACGTCTGTTTATATACCCCCCGTGCTCCCTTATTCTCCTACACTCACTAGGCTACACTGAGTTTGTTCACTTATTTCACGTGATTCTGGCTTGTCTGGTGATCACAGCGAAGTAGACCACACCCTTTCTTCCCTTCTTTGAGCCTGTCTCACTGTCAGCGACTTTATGTTACAGAGCAGGTGCTGAGCCGGGGAGCCATGCTGAAGCTGAAGCTGGTGCTGCTGATCAGCGTCTGCCTTGACCCTCAGGTGACCCTTTCATGTGGGTGGTTGGCGGATGCTCTGGTGTGGTTTGCTCCTTCTTTCTTATCAAACATTTGTCGTCTTTATCTCCTCTCCTTCTGTTTTGTTTGTTACTCTCTTGGAACACCTCTAATCTGGGGCACTTATATGACCTTATTGTGTTGCAAGTGCCGTAAAACTCTTACTAAAACTAAAACTGAGACCGTTTCATCTAGGAAGTGTAGCGGATAGCTGGTGACCCAGAGGACATGAGAACCTGGGAAGAGGCCAAGACGTATATACACTTCAGTTAAACTGTCCCCGTGGTTTTATGCACCCCGCATAGTTTAGCAAAATTTGAATTTTTTTTTGTGCATAATTTCTGATTATTTTCCTTTATCATTCATTGTTAAAATTAACAGAATCGCATAATGTCACATTAACATTTTTTGGGTTCAGCTTGCTTTAATTCAGAATTTGTTTTGCCTAAAACGATGGGGACAGGTTAGAAATAAGGATAATAGTAAGTGCATTAGTTTTAGTAAGGTTTTACGGCGCTCGCAACTGCATAAGGTCATATGAGCTCCGAGGGGTGGATGTCAACAGAGAAGTCCTTACAGGGAATCAGGCTTACTCTAGCTTCAACAGCACAAAGTCTGCTTTGACTAAAAAGGCACCCCGGAAATAGCTGTTCACAAGAGAGTGACAAACATACAAAAGAAGTAGACGAAAAAATGACGATAGTAAGGATGAGGAAAGAAAAAGCAGCAGTTCCCTCTATGTTGTTCCAGCACAGTATGAGCATGATATTGAAAACCCAGACATGTACACTTCAGTTAGAAATAAGGATAACAGTTGCATGTATATAGTGCATATCCACACTGTACAGCTTGTCCTATGTGATTTACTACTATTGTTGAAATTGTCTAGATGCCTCCTCCCCCCTCCCCCCCCCCCTTCTGGGCAGTGCTACTGACCGTAGTGTCTTTAGGTCATTCCCAAAGGGGGGACATTTCTCGTTCAAGCATAGTAGAATTGTAAATGGGCTGACTCATGTCACGCTCACAACTGTGCCTGATCTACAACAGGGAACTGCTGCTTTTTCCTTCCTCATCCTTACTATTGTCATTTTCCTCTACTTCTTTTGTATGTTTGTCACTCTCTTGTGACCTGCTATTTCCGGGGTGCCTTGATAGTCGAAGCAGACTCTGTACTGTTGAAGCTAGAGAGGTGAGCAGTCTAAGCCTGATTCCCTGTAAAGACTTCTCTGTTGACATCCACCCCTTGGCGCTCATATGACCTTATGCGTCGTAAAACCCTCTACTATAAAAAAAAAAACACCCAAAAAAGCATGTTCTTATGCAAAGTAGAATTGTAAATGGGCTGATTTATCCCACAGCTCTTTATTTCTTACTCTATCCTGCCACTTAATTCTTAGAATCCTCCTCATACATCTGTTGATGAAAGTCTGGACATTTTTTATGTGTTTTCCTTGAATTCCCCCTATCCAACAGAAGCTTTATGGGTGGTTGGTGGGTGCTCTGGTGTGGTTTGCTTCTTCTTTCCTATCAAACATCTATTTTCTTTATCTCCCCTCCTTCTTTTTTGTGTTTGTTACTCTCTTGTAACACCTCTAATCTTCGGCACTTATATGACCTCATTGTGTTGCAAGTGCCGTAAAACTCTTACTAAAACTAAACCAACAGAAGCATCTGATGCACGTACTGGCTCTGGGAAAAGAGGTGTCTCAGATCCGTGCCCTGATGACTTACGCTCAACAGTTTTCCGCGCGGGTGTTCCCTGTGTCCGCGACCACGCCCCTCTGTGCCACCGTGAGGAAGGACTGTACCTCCTGGCCTCCTTACTTCATACAAGGTGAGGACAACGCCATGTGTACCGCAGACTTTTGTGTGCTGGGTGGGTGGAAGGTGCTCGGGTGTGGTTTGGTCCTACTTTGTTATGAAACATCTATCGTCCGTATCTTTCCTTCTTCTTTTTGTGTTTGTCACTCTCTTGTAACACGTCTTTTCTTCGGCACTTATATGACCTTTACTGTGTTGCAAGTGCCGTAAAACTCCTACGAAAAAAACAAAACCATTTGTGTTGCGATGTGGTGTAATCAGGCGCTCGTCAATTTTTGGGCATGTGGGGTTATTGGTATCGTCATAAAGCATGTTCATTTGTCTTGCTAACGTTAAAAACATTACACTTCTATCTTTGAATATGAGTCGAGATATTTGCAATTGAAGGAGATGGTGTTGCTTGGTTTCAGAAGTAAAATTAGCGAGAAAATGGTCGACAAGTTTTGGTGACTACCAAAGCTTGAAAGTCCTTGGAAACTGCAAATTTACATTTTTTGTGTCTTTGTTCGACGTTATTCAGTAAAATCCACACGTGAATGTTTTTAAATGGACTTAAAAGATGTTGAGCCTAAAAAAAAAAAATCCAAAAAAATTGCCCAACGTCCTTAGAAATACAGATTCCTTCACTTTCATCATTTTGACGAGCGCTTGATTTCACCACGCTGCCTCACATTTTTGGTGGTGATGGTGGGGGGGGGGGGGGGGTTGTTGTGCTAATATACATTATTTCTTAATATTACAGAGGTGTCGATTTTCCACATAAATCTGAAAGTCAAGGTTTCTGAAATTTTTCACATTTTGCTCAACTTCAGATCGAATGATACAAAAAGTCTTGATACAAGATGTATTCAACAATATGATCCTAAATCGCGACCTCAGTGCTTTCTTGTCATATCTCCATTTTTTTAACAGTGAAAATGTGATTTCTTCTTATTCTCACTCTTTTTGTTATGAACTGTTTTCACTGTTAAAAAAATGGAGTTACGACCAGAAAGCACTGAGGTCATGAAACTGTGAGTTCCTTTGTGTACTACATTTCCATGGGGGAGTGTCTGAAAAGTTCTCGATGTCACAGTTACGTAGGTACAGTTTACTGTGGATGTCACAGTTATGTATGTACAGTTTACTGTGGATGTCACAGTTATGTATGTACAGTTTACTGTGGATGTCACAGTTATGTATGTGCAGTTTACAGTGGATGTCACAGTTACGTAGGTACAGTTTACTGTGGATGTCACAGTTACGTAGGTACAGTTTACTGTGGATGTCACAGTTACGTAGGTACAGTTTCCTGAGCCTCGCTGTTTGTCCACAGCCGGGTCGTTGTCGCTGGCGTCGGGCGGTGTGTGCCCCACTGGGGATCTCGGGGCCTGGCAGAAACAAGGGCGGGACCAGCTGCAAGCCGGCAAGTACTGACTTTGTGCCATGCAGGCTCACCAACAACTGGCCTGAATGTCTCGGGACAGTCCTGGTTTCGGCAGTTGGGAACTGGTCGCTTTTAAGCACAAGGGGGCTATCCCGACAAAATGCTGTTTTGAGAAAATCGAAGTAAAGTTTTTGCCCCTTGTTCAGTTTCATTTAAAAGACCAGGAGAGTTTTCTCTTTAACCAAAAAAATATACACAACACTAAAACCAAACTTCTGCTAGAGGTAGGGAAATGCCCACTTTTGGTGTAGGTCCAGAGTTCTGGAAACTCCCAAAATCTGGGTTAGCCCGCTTGTCCTTAAAAGCAACCAATTTTAGAGTCTTATAAGTTAACGTACACTACACCAAAATCAGCCCCAGTAGGTTTGTTCCTTGTTATGCAATCGTATCATGTTGTATCCTTGAATGTCCCCTATTGGGTTTTTTTATTTTTAAGAAGTGGGAAAGATCAGGGAAACATAGCTTTTTTGAGAACATCCGAGCAAAGGAATGAATGGAGAACCATGATCGCCGATGTCTGTCGCAGATCTGGCACTGGATGATGATGATGATGATGAAGAAGTGGCAAGTGTTCAGAAACAACTTATGGACATGTCAGTCGTTCAGTCTTTATTATGTGAAGCAAATCTTGCAAAACTCTCGCATTCACTCTTTGAATCTGCAAGGCAGGTCAACTAACCCAAGGAGTATATCTTGAGGTCCTGTGAGGCTGGTGCACTTAGGGCTAACAATATTTGAATAGTCTAGGGACAGGAATTTGGGAAATGTCAAGTTTGGAAGGGATGATCTTTCATAGAAATACTCTGAGCTTGGATTACATGAGGCAATATTGGTTTCGAATTTGAATGTTGAAAAAAAAAAATTTCTTGAGCACATGCAAGCAATACCCCCGATGAACCCCTTGACTGCTAACCATAAGACCACCGCATGTGCTAAGAAAATGTCCTCAGTGGCTGCGTATGACACTGTCTGCTTTTTGAATGGTTATAGCTCGCTTACTATAAGGACTAGATATAGCAAAGTAAATATATGTGAAATAAAAGAGAAATGAACATAAAATCCATTGGTGTTCATCATTTTTAGGTATAAGTATTCTGTAGAAGGTACGCCCACAGAGCTAGTACATGTGACCAGTTGACTGATGAGATATATAACACCTTTACTAACAAGTTGTGGAAGTGTATCTTCTTGCAGGGCTACTCTAGAAATGGTAAAGAATAGCTATGAGTGCATATGAAGTAAAACCTGGTCTAATGGCCACCTGTAAAAGACCATCACCTGTACAAACAGACATTTCCCATTTCTCCTCTCGCATGGTTTTTACATTAGAATGGGTGGGTGGTTGGCGGGTGCTCTGGTGTGGTTTGCTTCTTCTTTCCTACCAAACATCTGTCGTCTTTATCTCTCCTCCTTCTTTTTTGTGTACGTTACTCTCTGGTAACACCTCTAATTTTTGGCACTTATATGACCTTATTGTGTTGCAAGTGCTGTAAAACTCTTACTAAAACAAAAAATGAAACATTAGAATGACACTGTAAGATGGCCACTTGTCCAAGGTGGCCACTTTTCTCTTTGACACCGGGTGTTAAATTTAGACAGTGTTGATTGTATATATGAGGCGTAATGGTGAAATCAGGCCCAAAAATTGAGGAGAGCCTGATTCCACCGTGTCGTGACACATGATGATATATAGTCATTACTCTTTAGTTTTCTTTATTTTTTCTTTCTTTTTTATAACAATCCTTGGCCGGACTGATCTCACCTCCACAGTACTGTCCAGCCAAAAGATGTTTGTGGATGTGCCGGCCGGTGGCCAGGGAGGCGTGTCCCCGCAGGAAGTGCTGCCGCTGCGCTGTCAGGCGTGGGCGTACTGTGACCCCAGCACAACGCCCAGCCGAGGGAGGAAGGCCGACCTACTTCTGCCAGCCGCTGATACGGGGCCTCTAGCCAAACCTTTACTAGAGTGAGGAAAAGTAAAGTGGTTCCCGTGGGTGGTTAGTGGGTGCTTTGGTGTGGTTTGCTTCTTCTTTCCTATGAAACATCTATCGTCCTTATCTCTCCTTCTTTTTTGTGTTTGTCGCTCTCTTGTAACACCTTTAATCTTCTGGCGCTCATATGACCTTATGCAGTTTCGAGTGCCTTAAAACCTCTACTAACACTAGACTAAAGTGGTTCCCCGCGTCTGATCCAGACTTTTGGGGATTGCCTTGTTAGTGAGACAACTTCCTGGGTCTTAAGCATATTGTGGTAGGGTGGCCAGTTCCTTTCCACGCCGCCTTTACTTCCTCAACTGGAAGTCAGGTACCCATTACTGCTGTTTGGGCAGGAGAGGGCGAAAAAAATCCATGTCCGAACCGAAGCTCGAACCCGGACTTTCAGCTTCGGAGACGAGCGTACTAACCGCTCCACCACCGCACCCTCACTAGAGTAAGACTTTTGGTTTGGGGGCCTTGAAAGGTGCCATTGGGGTGACAGGCGCCTTGAAAAGTATTGGGGGAAGGTTGAAATGCATGTTAGAAAAGAAAATGTGCGGCAGCGTGGTGAAATCAGACGCTCGTCAAAATAATGAAAGTGAAGAAACTGCCATTTTTATGCAGGTGTGGGAATTTTTATCGTCTTTTTATTTTTTCGCTCAACACCTTTCATGCCCATTATAGAACACATTTCTGAGTGGATTTTACTGAAAAACATTGAATTAAGGCATAAAAGATGTAAATTTTAGGTTCCCACAGACTCTCAAGCTTTGGAAATAAATAAACTTTGGCGGTCATTCTCTCGCTAATTATGCCTCTGAAATCAAGTAACCCTCACCTCCTTCAACCGCCAATATCTTGACTTGTATCCGAGATAAATAGATATTTTTTTCCTTGAAAGCAAGTTTTTGTGATTGATCCAGAAAAGACAGGTAGTGCACCAACATCTTGATCTACATCCCCGGGCTTCACTCTTCTGTAAATTCTTTTCCACCCGTCAGCTCATTCAGTTTCATCATCTTCCTAGACACGGCAGACGTGGGTGTGGTCGGTGAGATTGTATTGTCAAGAAAGAGAGTAACTGTGTATGGTTGTGGTCGTTGTATGCGAGTTATGTCCTTTATATCTGTGTGTATCGTGTGACCATTAAGGTGTGTTAAGCACGAATCTCTGATGAATCACGGCAATTCAGTTCTGAATAAACTCTCAAGCAAGTAGCAAATGTCGTGTTGAAGATACTACAGTTTTTTTTATTGATCCAGAAAATACCAGTAGTGCACCAACATCTACATCCGTCAACATCACTCTTCTGTAAATTCTTCTCCATCCCGTCAGCTCGTTCAGTTTCATCAGCTTCCTAGACACGACAGATGTGGGAGTGGCAGATGAGACGGTTGTGGAGGCGGCCGTGCACACGCTGGTCTCGTGGTCGGAGGCAGGTTGTGATGTCATCGAGGAGCCGGACGTGTTGCAGGTGCAGGATATAGAGCAGGTACTTAACTGTCAACATGACGTAATTATAATAGAAATAATAATGATATAATAATAATAATACTGATAATAATAATAGATGCTGTATATAGAGCAGGTATTCACCTGTCACCATGAGTAATAATAATAGTAATAATAAAAATAATGCTAATACAGTCGAACCTGTGTCAGACCGAATCGCAAGGGAGCCAGAAGAAAATTGTGTCTTAGACAGGGGAATTTAGTGGGGAGATGGAAGGGGAATTTAGTGGGGAGATGGAAGGGGAATTTAGTGGGGAGATGGAAGGGGAATTTAGTGGGGAGATGGAAAGGGAATTTAGTGGGGAGATGGAAGGGGGGGGGAATCAAAGGCCCAGCTGGAGGGATCAAGGGTCGCTTGTCCGGTCGGCAAGCAATTGCAGGTGGTAAAAACTTCACACCTCTCAACTGCTGTGCTCTCTGATGATGACATGCGTCAGTCTTAGTTATCCAATTACCACCAGTGCATGCATTTCGTAGGACCCACTGTTTGACCTATTAAAAACAGAAACGTTTGAGCATCTCCTTTGCTTCCACCCTTTGCCCCACCCATCGGTGTAACAAGCACAGTCAACCAATGCCATCCCTCACTGCCATCATGTAACATCGATTCAAGAAACTCTTTTCTTGGCTGGCTGTGCGATCAGGGCGTCAGGCATTGGTCAAACTAATTTCACACCTCTGGCCTCTGGCTACCAATGAAAGTTTCCTTGCTGGATTGCCACTCTGGCACTTTCACTGGCACTCGTGAGATTTCACACCAACACCAGCCTGACCATCTGCATCGCTCAGGGCTCACATAGATGGGGTAACGTCTAATCTGTAATTGCACCTCTACCCCCCCTTCCTGGCCCGCCAGGATATGGAGTTTAGAACCGGAGGACTGAACCAAGCTTGTGAGTTTTGTTTCAAACCAGGACTGAATGGGCAAAACATCATTTTGCAGCCACGTATGTGTTTTTTTTTGGGGGGAGGGCATGTGTGTGTGTGTGTGTTTTGATATGTGTGTGTGTGTATGCGCATGTGTGTGTTTGTGCATGTGTGTGTTGGGGGGGAGGGGGGGAAGGGGAGAAAAAAGGGTAGTAAAGATGAAGGGGAAATTCATGTGCCATTCATTGTTAGGCTTGCCAAATTTTTCCAAAACTCAATCAGGGACATCCAACATTAAAACATCAGATCCTGCATCAACAAACAGATACACGCACACAAATGCACTCCCCCCAAAAAAAAACCACACACACACATACACCCCCCTCCCCATCCCCTGTCATATACACCAAAACACACATTCACGCACACACACACACACACACACACAATACACCCCCCTTTCCATTTTCTATTCACTGTCATACACACCCCCCTCCCTCTCCTCACCCCCTCCCCCTCCTCACCCCTCCCCCCCCCCCCCCTCCACCAGCTCCTGTCCATGGCCCGTGCGACAGAGCCAGAGATGACGGTGGAGGCAGAGATGTTGCTTCACAACTACTACACGGCGTGCCGCATGGCGCGCAGTTCGGGTCTCTCAGGCTCTGACGTGCCCACCTCGGCCATACACGCGCTGTGAGTCAGATCTTGTCCGGCCCCCGGATTGTGACGTCGCGCTCTCTTGTGTAACAAAACACCCTCGTTTTCATTTTGGCGCCAACATTTTTTATTTGCTAAATCAAAAGCCTTCTTAGTTACCTAACTTGTGTGAAAAAATCAAAGTGAAACTGACTAGGTTTTTAATAAAATCGAATTCAAATTTTGGAAGAACTATTTTTCAATGGTTACGCTGTAAAAAAAAACCCTCTTTTTCTCGAAACCGCTGTTTAAAAAAAAAGGCTATTTGTCAGCTTACGGCAGTACAGTCCTTGTCTCCCCTTTTCGTATGATACTCTCTCGCAAGTCCTCTAATCTTTGGCACTTGTCACCTGTTTGTGTTGCTATTGCTTTAAAACCCTTACTCAAACTTAACGAACATTTTTCATCAGTGTTTCTATTGCCTTTATGTGGTCCGGGCGGATGGAAAGTAAGGTCCTGGGGGATGGAAAGTAAGGTCCTGGGGGATGGAAAGTAAGGTCCTGGGGGATGGAAAGTAAGGTCCTGGAGGATGGAAAGTAAGGTCCTGGGGGGTGGAAAGTAAGGTCATGGAGGATGGAAAGTAAGGTCCTGGGGGATGGAAAGTAAGGTCCTGGGGGATGGAAAGTAAGGTCCTGGAGGATGGAAAGTAAGGTCCTGGAGGATGGAAAGTAAGGTCCTGGGGGATGGAAAGTAAGGTCCAGGGGGATGGAAAGTAAGGTCCTGGGGGGTGGAAAGTAAGGTCCTGGGGGATGGAAAGTAAGGTCCTGGGGGATGGAAAGTAAGGTCCTGGAGGATGGAAAGTAAGGTCCTGGAGGATGGAAAGTAAGGTCCTGGAGGATGGAAAGTAAGGTCCTGGAGGATGGAAAGTAAGGTCCTGGGGGATGGAAAGTAAGGTCCTGGAGGATGGAAAGTAAGGTCCTGGGGGATGGAAAGTAAGGTCCTGGAGGATGGAAAGTAAGGTCCTGGAGGATGGAAAGTAAGGTCCTGGAGGATGGAAAGTAAGGTCCTGGAGGATGGAAAGTAAGGTCCTGGAGGATGGAAAGTAAGGTCCTGGAGGATGGAAAGTAAGGTCCTGGGGGATGGAAAGTAAGGTCCTGGAGGATGGAAAGTAAGGTCCTGGGGGATGGAAAGTAAGGTCCTGGAGGATGGAAAGTAAGGTCCTGGAGGATGGAAAGTAAGGTCCTGGAGGATGGAAAGTAAGGTCCTGGAGGATGGAAAGTAAGGTCCTGGAGGATGGAAAGTAAGGGCACTGCTTGGAAGTCCTGCATCTTGGTTTTTCCAGTATATTTTCTGTGTCTTGTTTTACTTTTCTTTGCACTACCGGACAGTTCAGTGACTGTGTGAAAGCTCTTCTCTTTACTCAGACAAACTAACAATCAGTTAATTAATAATAGTGATGATTGATGATAATAAAGGTCCTTTTATACTTTCTCTTTCCTCATCCTTACTATCGTCATTTTTCCTTTACTTCATTTGTATGTTTGTCACTCTCTTGTGAACTGCTATTTCCGGGGTGCCTTGATAGTTGAAGCAGACTTTGTACTGTTAAGGCTAAAGAGGTGAGCAGAGTAAGCCTGATTCCCACGTTTGGACTTCTCTGTTGACATCCACCCCTTGGCGTTCATATGATCTTATGCAGTTGCGAGCGCAGTAAAACCTTACTAAAGCAAACAAACCCTTAGCAAAGATAGTATAGCCTACGGTATAGCCGTAGGGTGAGGTATCTTTGCCCTTAGTCAGACTTAACTAACATTTTTCATCTGTGTTTCTATTGCCTTTATGTGGTGCGGGCGGATGGTTAAAGTAAGGACACGACTGGGAAGTCCTAAAATATCTTGATTTTCCCAGTATATTTTCTGTGTTTGTTTTTTCTCTGCACTACATGACAGTTCAGTTATTGTGTGAAGGCTCTTTCTTCTCGTTACTCAAACGAACTAACAATCAGTTACTTAATATTAATAATAATAATGATGATGATAATAATAATAATGGTATAGTGGTTTCTATAGCTAGTGTAGTCATTAGATGTAATAGTATTTTTTTAATGTTCCCGATGAAGCCCGGAGTCGGGCGAAACGTTGAATGTATTTAACACAATATTTTTTTACATTTTACCAAGTTTCATTTTTAAAATTCTCTGCTGTATATGAGAGACATTGTGGTGAAATCAGGCGCTCCTCAAAATGATGAAATCAAAGAAATTGGCATTTTTCTGGCTGTTGTGCAGTTTTTTTTAATTTTTATTTTTTTTGACTCACCACCTTTTTCATCCATTTGAACATTTCTTCATGGATTTTACTGAAAAGCATTGATTAAAGGCACAAAGAATGTAAATTTTCACTTTTCAAGGACTGTTAAGTTATGAAAAGTACCAAACTTTGGCGGCCATTTTCTCGCTAATTTTAAATCTGAAACCAGGCGACCCTGACCTCCTATCGCAAATTTCGCAACTTCTATTCAACATTGATGGATATTTTTTCCCCAATAGAAAGGCAAACAAAATGGCTTTAAGATAATAACAATAATTAACCTCGTATGTCCAAAAGTTAATGAGCGCCTGATTCCACTACGTTGTGACACATACAGTGGGTGTCGCTTTCAACGAGAAGTCGGCTCCAACGAGGCTATCCTCAATCCCTGATTTTTTCCTCTATATATCTTTGTAAATGTACGTCAGCTCCAACGAGGTTGCAAACAGACCGAAGTCGCTTTCAACGAGGTCGCGATAACCAAATAAAAGCAATTAGTGGCCCCAAAAGCAAAGAATTTTTCTCCTTTCTCTCTATCTCACGCGAAGCACAAGGCCCATCCTCGATTCCTAACACATTGTATTGCTAGATCTAGTGTGCCTCGCTCAGACACGCGCACACTAATGCTGTTTGAGATTTTTGTCATCAGGGGGAACAATTGTTTCAATTACTGGTATTGGTACATCGTGTAATATAATAACTTGTCTCCTTTCTTTTCTTCAGCCTCAGTCACGTTCAACGAGAGGTCGGATCCAACGAGGACAACAAGCCGGTCCTAGCTACCTCGTTGAATGCGACACCCACTGTATAACGATAATAAAGATGAATGTATCCCGCTGTTTCCCTCAGGACGTCTCTGGCCGTTGGGTTTGCCAAGCTGAAGCTGTCGTCTGTGGTGAGGGAGGAGGACGCTGTGATGGCCATCTACCTGTACGAGGAATGTCTCACCGCAAGATTCGGTGAGAGAGTAGCAGCATACAGTCGACTTTGCTTGTGTTGAACTCACTCGAGTTGATCTCCCGTTAAGCTGATGTTTTCCTTGGGTCCCAGCACCTCTTAAAATTCTTCTTTACAGTAAACCTTTACAATGAAAAATAGTCTTCCGAAATTTGAGAGTTTCACTTTGATTCTTTTCACACAAGTCGGGTAACTGATTAAGCTTTCAATTTAGCAAATATAAAATTTTGACGCTTAAATGAAAAAAAAAAGACTTTTTGTCAGCTTACCGCAGAATAGTCGACATTGAATCAATGGGAGCACAAAACATTGACAACAAGTGGCAGGAATTTTTTCTTACAGTTTGGAGAATTCAGTCAGAGCTACATTGTCATGGTTGTTTCTTTCTGAACAGCAAGAAGGGACACATCTACTTGCTAACACACACCTAGAAAAATCAGCTGGATGCAAACATCGTTTTGTTATATTTACGAATTTCACTGTGTGTGTTTTAGATGCAAAGAGTACGTTGTATATACAGTGGAAACCTGATATAACAGGGACGATAGGACCAGAAAACAGAGAAAAAGTCCTGTTATATCAGATACCTGTTAAATAAGAAATGCAAGGGGAGTAAGCCTTTGTGGGCTAATCTAGCTGTATTTGTTCATGGGTAGTTTCCCATGGCCTGCGCATGACGCATAACGCGGGCGTTTAGCTCGGCTTAGGGCTTGGTCGAAGTCTGCAGCACACCGCAGCCCTCTCTCGCTTCACCCGCTGCGTGTGCTTGCAGTGGCGTGGCTTGCGGGGCTTGCTCCATCACTGCGTTACTCTCTCTCTCTCTCTCTCTCTCTTACTTTTTACGCATTGTTAACGAGCCTTTGTCCCTGCTATAACCGGCTGGGCTCCGATGAGGCCCTGTTATTGCCAATAACTTTTAATAGAGACAAAGAGTGGGAAAAATCGGGGATTTAAAAAACCCCTGTTATTACCGGATCCTTGTTATTACCAGGCCTGTTATCTATGGTTTCCACTGTATAGATCTAGATCTATATAGAATGCTGGACAATCACTAAAGACAGTGAAAATAAAATAGAGGCAACAGAAATGTGGTTTCTTAGGAGACTGCTATGAGTATCGTGGAAGGAAAAGAAATCAAATGAGGTAGTGCTTGATGAAGCCCACGTGGGACGCTCAATGTTAAAAACAATCAGGAAACGACAAATGCAGTTTTTGGGACACCTGAATAGACATAAGGGTCTTGAACATCTAGCTCTCACTGGCAAAATTGAAGGCAACCGAGGCTGGGGTAGGCCCAGAACAACATACTTAGGGAACCTAAACAAATGGGTAACAGGGAAAGATCAAGGAAATGAAGCTTTTTTGAGAACATCCGAGCAAAGGAATGAATGGAGAACCATGATCGCCGATGTCTGTCGCAGATCTGGCACTGGATGATGATGATGAGATCTGTATACAAACAAATTTGGAAGCCGAAAAACCTTTCGCTATATTATGTTTATTTTGCTATATGCGTGTTTCTCTATAGACATGCGTGTCTCTCTATGTGTGAGCTAGACTGTACTTGTGACGTTCATCTTCTTCTTGTCTCACTGTCAGGTTTGTCGGTGCTACAAGTCCAGCCACAGCCTCACATCCCTGAGAGCCAGCTGCCACAGTTTCTGGGCAAAGAGGTAGGCACTACTGGTAGATTCAGTCTGAAAGCCTGTTTATTTTACTTGCTTTTGGTGAAAAGAATACCCATCTATCTTGAATAGAAGTGGAGATATTTGTGATTGAAGGAGGTGGGAGGTCGCCGGGTATCAGAGGTAAAACTAGCGAGAAAATGGCCTCAACAGTTTGGAGATTTACAAAGCTGTAGTAGAGTCCTTAGAAACAACAAATTTACTCTTTTTTTGCCTTTAATCAACGATTTTCACTCAGAATTGTGCTTTTAAAACGACACAGGTGGTGTTCAGCCAAAATAGAGAAATAGACAAATAAATTTCCCAACGGTCAGAAAAATGTGGCTGAGTTTCTTTGATTTCATTATTTTGACGAGCGCCTGATTTTGTTATTTTGACGAGCGCCTGATTTCATTATTTTGATGAGCGCCTGATTTCATTATTTTGACGAGCGCATGATTTCATTATTTTGACCAGGGCCTGATTTTGTTATTTTGACGAGCGCCTGATTTCCCTGATTTCATTATTTTGACGAGCGCCTGATTTCATTATTTTGACGAGCGCCTGATTTTGTTATTTTGACGAGCGCCTGATTTCATTATGACTTCTCACAAATGTTTTGTTCAGCGTTGAAAAAGTAAAGTGTGTCACATTTTGACTGAGACGAGACACATTTTGACTATTGAGACACATTTTGATTGCGACACATTTTGACTATTGAAACACATTTGACTGAGACGAGACACATTTTGACTTAGACGAGCGACACATTTTGACTATTGGGACACATTTTGATGGAGACGAGACACATTTTGACTTTTGAGACACATTTTTGATATTGAGACACTTTTTGAATGCGACAGTCTCTCGTGTTCCGCCCACAGCTAGACCTGCTCCTACAACATCTCCACATACAGCTGCTCCGCTTCTGCTCACAGGTCGTTCAGTCCAGGTGTGTCAAGACGGAGGAATAGATAGACAGAGGAATAGATAGACAGAGGAATAGATAGACAGAGGAATAAACAGACAGAGGAATAGATAGACAGAGGAATACATTGCTCAAAGATTGCACAGTCCAGGTGTGTCAAGACAGAGGAATAGATAGACAGAGGAATAGATAGACAGAGGAATAGACAGAGGAATAAACAGACGGAGGAATAAATAGACAGAGGAATAGATAGACAGAGGAATAAACAGACGGAGAAATAAATAGACAGAAGAATAAACAGACAGAGGAATAAATAGACAGAGGAATAGACAGACCACTCTTGGCACTCATATGACCTTATGCAGGTGGGAGCGCCGTAAAACTTCTACTAAAAAAATTTTTTTAAAGTGTCACTCTTTCACCTAAGGCTCGAGGCAGACCACACAAAACTTGTCTGGATGACGGTAAAGAGGTCCTCCAAAGGAATAACATAACAACAACAACAAAAGCCTTCCACCTCGCCCTTGACCGAAAGAATTGTCCTTCCCCTGGTCATGAAATGATACGAGAGTGAGAAACAAAGTAAAAGTAAAGTAGAGCTCTTTCTCCTGCCTGATGTCACTGCGGTTTTATGAAAAACAAATTCTGAAATTATGCAAACTGAGCCCAAAAATATGAAATTATGCAATTCTGTTAATGTTGTTAATCTGTCCTGTAGAAGCATTCATTGTAAGGTAAGTATTTAGACGTCTAGATGAATGTAGGCTTCTGTATTTTTTAATTTTAACTAAGATTGATAAAGGAAAATAATCAGAAATTGTGCAAAAAATGATCAAATTTTTCTAAATTATGCGGGGTGCGTAAAACCTCGGGGACAGCCTGCCTGTTAGAAGATATTCCCAGATGCTACTTTTCCTTCAGCCACGTACCCCTTGTGGGTGTTGTTCCACTCAGTCTGTGCCAGGTAGTGTACGACATTCTAGAACCTTCCATTCTTGTTCAACAAATAAATTGTGCGAGTTACATTCGCATTTTTTTTTTTGCGTGTTCACTGCCAGATGTATTTTTTCCTTTTTGTTTTGTGCATGTAGCTGAGTGTGTTGTGTGACTGTTTCCTTCATGTACCGGTGGCCTGACTTTGTGAACTTTGTCATAGAGGACCCAAGCACTGTAGCCAGCACATAGTGAGATTGGTGGGTCAGGGAAAGCTTTCCATTATGTCTGTCCCCGTCGTTTAATGCAAGAAAGACTCTGATATTATGCAAACTGAGCCCAAAAATGTGAAATTATGCGATTCTGTTCATTTCAACAAAGAATGATAAAGGAAAATAATAAAAAAATGATGCAAAAAAATGATCAAATTTGGCTAAATTATGCGGGGTGTATAAAAGCACGGGGACAGTTATATGTACCAACTTTGTTGAGCACATGTTTTAAATACAAAGAATGTACATGATGTAGTAGAATAACATTCAGGGAGAAAAACATTTTTTTGCTGTGTTCGCATTTCTTCACTATCTGTGCATTTGATATATATATGGAGTCTGAAGTCACTGTAGTTTAATTTTCAGTTTTTCATTAGTTTCGTTAAGATCTAATCTTGGGAAAGATCGTCTTCTTAGACGCCATTGTAAACAAGTGAGAGTTCCGTTCACGAACAGTGCATAACTGGTTCCACAATGACTTGACGATCGGTTCTTTGGAGTCCGTTCATCGAACGGGATACCCAGCTTGTTTATATATATATGTGCCTACTTGATGGTAGTTTCTGTTTATCTTAACATCATTAAAGGATAAACAGAAAGTACCGTCAAGTATGCACATATTAAATGCACAGATAGTGAAACGTGAACATGATGTTGTAGGTGGGTGGTTGGCGGGTGCTCTGGTGTGGTTTGCTCCTTCCTTCTTTCCTGATTCCTATCAGATATCTATCGTCCGTATCTTTCATCCTTCTTTTTTGTGTATGTTACTCTCTTGTAACACATCTATTCTTCGGCACTTATATGACCTTATTGTGTTGCAAGTGCTGTAAAACTCTTACTAAAACTAAAACTTTGATGATGTTGGTAAGGACCTAGTAGTTCCTGTTCTTTTCTGTCCTGCTTATTACCATCTGATGTCAATTAAAATGTGTTTTTTAAAAATAATTACTCAAAGTGGATATGACATTGGACTTTTCAAAGCTCTAATAGTCTGAGTTTGCGTTCTGCTTTGCTGTTACCGTATTTTAATTTTACAGAATGATGTTCGAGTTTGGAATGTGACAATGTTACAGTTGTTGATTGTTTAAATTCTTTGCTATTGTGTGAGCTTCCTTTGTGTGACGAGATCTGTATTAAAATTATACTTTATCACTTCCGGGCATCTGATGTTTATTTATTTATTTATTTTTTGACATTTGAAGTAGTTTATGGGATTGGGTTTACCCCTCTCCCTCTGTGGGTGGTTGGCGGGTGCTCTGGTGTGGTTTGCTCCTTCTTTCCTATCAAACATCTATCGTCCTATTATAAATCTCTCCTCTTTCTTTTTTGCGTTTGTTACTCTCTTGTAACACCTCTAATTTTTTACACTTATATGACCTTATTGTGTTGCAAGTGCCGTAAAACTCTTACTAAAACTGACTTCTCCCTCCGAGACCTAACTTTGACAACACACTCTACGGAACATTACAGCAACTGCAGCAAACCTGCACTTATCACTACATGGCATTGGACAGAAGGGCGAGAGCCCAGATGTTGCTGGATCGATGACAACAACAACAACAACAACGTGGGTCGGGGGGAATCCTTGAGTTGATGATACTCTAATGTTGGATGTAATGTGCATGTAAATCTTGGTGCTAAGTGGACTGCATATTTTTTGTTTGGCACTTCCTCGAGATCCCCACCAGGCTGTCCTGGGGGGGGGGGGGGGGGGGGGGGGGGCAGGACACAACCCTCATTCCCAACTCTTCGCATAGAGTGACCAGAAATTTGGAAATAATTCGTCAATCATCCATTTCCCTTCTTCAAAGAAAACAGACTGTGAGACACAAAACGTGATGATATGATAGGTGGGTGGCGGGCGCTCTGGTGCGGTTTGCTTTTTCTTTCATAAAAAAATCTATCTTCTTTATCTCCCCTCCTTCTATTTTGTGTATGTTACTCTCTTGTAACACCTCCAATCTTCCACACTTATATGACCTTATTGTGCTGCAAGTGCTATAAAATCCTTACTAAACACAAACTTTAAAAAAAAGCTCACACAGTACACGCCAGAAGAAAAAAAGACAAGCCATGTAATTGTCATAACCAGCACTTGTTTTCTTTTAATTCAAAGAAAATCTACAGCATCTTTGAGTAAACACTAGTACATACAGACGTAGTATATATAACAAAAAGGCAAACGCACAAGCATTAAAATAATATTATTACAAGTACAATGAAATTGTGAATCAGGGAAAAAAAAAAAAAAAAAAATTTTAAAAGGCAAAAAAAAACAACCCCACAAAAAAAACTCAACATTTTTTTTTTTACAGAAAGAAACTCTGTTGCAACAGTTAGATCTAAATCTACTACTACAGTCCCATAAAAAAAATATTTCTAAAAATGGTAAAACAAGGGCAAACTTGCTGTCAACCTTCTATAATATTATAACAATAACAAGAAGACTGACAGAGATGAAGGAAGGAGACTGTCATTTTCCCAAGTCTAGCTCCCAACAAGTAAAAGAAAAGATGAAGGAGAAGACAGATCGCTTGGTTTTCCTGCAGACCGTTGGGGGAAGAGAAAAAAAGTTTAGCTTAGTTTTAGTAAGAGTTTTACGGCACCTGCAACACAATAAGGTCATAAGTGCTGAAGATAAGAGGTGTTACAACAAGAGAGTAACAAACACAAACAAGCGAAGAAGGGGAGATAAAGACGATAGTTGTTTGATAGGAGGAAAGAAGGAAGGAGCAAACCACTCCAGAGCACCCGCCAACCACCCTAAGAGTCGAATCTAGAGTGAAAAAATAGATCAACTCATCCAAAATTCAACTTAAAACCGTTGGAACCTGTAAAGAAGACCAGGTGCTGGGACCCGAGGAAAAGATCAACTCAACTTAACTGAAGATCAACTCGAGTGAGTTCAACACAAGCAGATTCAACTACTATAAACGTATACGATGAGCAATTAAATGAAATTTAATAAAAAGGAACAGATTAGATCTACAACTAAAAGTGCTCAAACAAAGCTCACACAGATTTCACAGACCCATCTCAACCAATGACAAAATTCGATGTACTGACTTAACATGTTCAAAACTACAAAAATCAAAAACAATAAACCCACAGGCCCATCAGAACACACCAGGAACAAAACGGCTACGTGTCAACAATTCATAAATATAAAACAATAAGTGAACGGAACAAGGACAAACTGTGAATGATGAAACGTAAACACAATAATATGTCATATATATATATATATATATATATAACTGAAACACAGATACCGTCACATTTTCAAACAATGAAGTACAAAATTGTATCAAATTCCAACACAATTGTTTGTTACAGAAAAAGGCACCCCAAAAAAATTTTTTAAAGAAGAAAAGAGAAGAAAACATTTTTGATAGATCTACTTAAAAAAGCATGGAGGAAAGAAAAAAAGGCAAGCCATTTTTAAACTGTGTGAAATGACCCCAAAAAATCTCGGAAGAAAAACAATCTTTACAGCACCAGACCTGTCACTTGTTCTAGACCCAACAAGCAAAAACAAAAACAAAATGTTTGTCTTAGAGATTTTCTCCCATGGCAAAGCAGAAATAATGGCAAGTTCACAAAGACACCGGTCCACGTGAGGAGGAATGCTGTTAGTAAAAAATTGTTCCCGCATCCGATCCGGACATTGGGGATAGCTTTGTTAGTGAGATAACTTCCTGGGCCTTCGGCATATTGTTAGTACTGAACTCAAAACACACAAAAAGACGCCGGCACGAGGGGATTCGGAGATTCTCAACGTTCCAAACGTCGCAAACTTTTCTCTGCTGCCGGAAATAGTCTCAGTGGCCATAGCAGAAGCCACAAGTCACCATAGTCTTTTTTTATTAGTTAGAGTTTTACGGCACTTGCAACACAATAAGGTCATATAAGTGCCGAAGATTAGATGTGTTACAAGAGAGCAACAAACACTAAAATGAAGTACGAGAGTTCAGGACGATAGATGTACGACAGGAAAGAAGGAGCAAACCACATCAGAGCACCCGCCAACCACCCACATCTTAATCTTTAATTCTTCTACTTTGCTTAAGAAAAATTCTCCTCTGCAGATGCATTGATCATCATCAGACATTGATGCACAAACTGTTATTATTATTATTATTATTATTACCATTATTGAAAAACATACAAAATCTACACAATACCGTGCTCTTCATTAATTGTAAAGAGCTGGCCACAAATATGGCAGTGTGGGTGGTTGGCGGGTGCTCTGGTGTGGTTTGCTTCATCTTTCCTATCAAACATCTATCGTCCTTATCCCCCCTTCTTCTTTTTTATGTTTGTTACTCTCTTGTAACACCTCTAACTCTAATCTTCTGGCGCTCATATGACCTTATGCAGTTGCGATCGCCGCAAAACCTCTACTAAAACTAAAAATATGGCAGTGTATGCTAACCCATGCTACATGATCCATTTCTTTCCAAAATAACGCCAAATGACAAATATGGGACAAGCTCATGCCTTACTGTTGTATTGGAAAGTGCTTAAGAACAAACCAGCCAAGCAAGTTAAGCCAATGACAAACCTACCCGTCCCCAAGGTTTTATGCACCCCGCATAATTTAGCAAAATTTGATCATTTTTTGCATAATTTCTGATTATTTTCCTTTATCATTCTTTGTTATAATTAACAGAATCGCATAATTTCACATTTTTGGGCTCAGTTTGCATAATTTCAGAATTTTTCTTGGAAGGAGAGCTCATATAGTATATATATAAAGAAATTGAAATTTTTAGCTGTAGAAAATGGGAAAATAAAAGAGCCTAAACAGCGACTCATATTAGATTAGTTAGGGCCGATTGATTCCACTGCGACACCACAGTACAAAACTGACGACCTGTTTAATCAGCCGTCAACACTCGGGAGGGTAAAACATAATTCGGTAATTCTACGAATTTTCAATTCCACCCAACACATGAATCATAAATCTTTACAGGTATAGTATTAATTTATATAATATAAAACAGATCACCGCTACAATTCCCCACACCACTACAACGAACCACCACAACATCACGATAATTCACAAGACAATTGTCCACACAGTGACATGAATGTGTTCCGCGCCATTTACCGATCGGCAGTGTGTTTTAACGATTGTATAATTGCATGGCAATCAGAAGATTGCGTCAATATTTTATATTAATATTATTGAAATTATTTTGTTTTTAAATTCACTTCCATCTTTATTCTTTTACTCACATCAAGGAACATTCACCTAAAGTTTAAAAATATGAAAATTAAAATCAAAATCAACGTATGAAACTGAAGAGCTCAAAAGAAAGATACAATGCCAAGTATAAAATTCAAAGCTCACAAAGTACTTTTAATTTATTTTATATTTTGGGAGAAAAAAATTATCCAAAAAAAGTTCACTTCCATCTTTATTCTTTTACTCACATCAAGGAACATTCACATATAATCTTCAAAAGTGTAAAAGTAAAAATATGAAAATTAAAATCAAAATTAAAATTAACATATGAAACCGAAGAGCTCACAAAAATGATACAATTATACGATCGTTAAAATGTGCAACGCAATCTTAAGATTGCCGCGCAACTATGCGATCGTTAAAACGAGCAGCGCAAGCTGGGAACAAATCTATGTACAGATAAGAATCTAAACAAGAACAGAGGTCTTTGGTTGGGGGGGGGGGGGGGGGAGGGGCGCGGGGCGGCAGTTAC